CTCCCCTAACACGGCGTCGCACACGCCGCACCCGCCGCCTATCGCAGGATTGCGATGGAAGTTTGGAGCGCGCAATTTGTGAGGTAGGGAGTCCTTTAATTATTTGAATTGGCTGACCGCTTTCTTCAATTTCAATGCAGTCTTGATCGCCGCTTACTTAGGAGGAGCCATTTTAATTAATCAAGTCTAATAAACATGAAAACTAAGAAGAAACAGAAGAAAAAACGATAAAATCCAATAAAAAAGCAAGCTAGTCAAGGAAAAATATCGCTTCCTATCGATCGGCGGGAGGCGAGGTGAGTACGGTAACTGCAGTGACATTTGCCGCATGCCGCAAGGGAGAATGCCGCAATAGGGGAGAAGTTCCGTTACCCCAATTCCGGACATGTCTGGCCAGCTCTTAATGCAATCTCAAGCGGCTGCAATCCCGTCCGAATATCCCCTTCATACCATTCCCATCATGGCAATCTCGTACAAGTCCCTATTTTCACTACCTTTGCCCTAGTTTTTCAAGAAAACGTTGAACTCGTCCGCTTTCTTGATGTACTACTGATTACTACCACTGACACTTCCGCTTTTCGTCCTAAAAAAGGTACCTCGAAATTATCGTGAACTGTGCCTTCAAATGAATGCCACAGAAGCTTCTAGCGATCATCGACAAACCAAAAAAACTTGGTTAACTTTCTATAAAACTAACAATGAACAGCGTCTGGACAGAAGCAAAAGAGAAACAAATTCCATCAAAGGCATTATTCGGAGGTCCATAATCAGAATCAAGCTTTTCAACTTTGCGATACGTCTCACTGGCATGAACCATGGCGAAAGAAGTTGCCCTGCTGTTGCCGATATTGCCGAAAGGACGAGTTTAGGCTTTCGAAAGAAGGGGAAGTGATCAGGTAGGGGTGTTTGTTACGTCGTCTCTGGACTACCGCAACCAATGTCATAACCTCTATCATTTTTTATCATGTGATAAGAAAGTTTGGACTCATTTTCACCGATGCACAGTATCAGTGTGCTGGACCTTGCTAAACCTGTTCAGCTTCTACTTGGTTTAGTAACAGCTACATTAGGCAGAGGTGGTCTAGTGGCAAGTGGCGCACTATCATACACGCACGGTCACGGGTTTCAATTTTGGTTCTGGATTGATATCCGCCTACCGAGCTTCCATCCTCCAGGATCGGTTAAGTGGTGCAAGATTCATCTGAGAGGATAAAAGCAGTGACCTGTACATCGTATGGCTACCGCAATTCATTGCAGTATAGGCCACATACGCATTCGATACGCCACTACGATTCTGAATGGGAGTCGAATGCGTGGGCTCATCCCTCAGAGGGGATTGATTAACGTCCTAAGACTTTATTCTTTACACCCAGAAACTTGTGGTAAAATTCAAACCAGAAAAACGTGGTCCAACGCATTCGGAGGGCTATATCTGGCGATTGCGGCTTTTCGCAGATAATGTGACATGGACGATACAAGTCTCTGAACTCGTTCTTCACTGTAGGTCGTTACTAGTTAACCTACTACTTTTTGGCATCATCTCTCGTTTGTTTCCAAAGTCAGGATAAGTGTAAGGCTAAATATGCTAATTTTTCCACTTTGTCATGTTATATGGAGAGCATCGGATTCTGTCCCTCCATTTTTGCCTCATTGCTTATTTCATAGAGAATCTCTTCACAGAACAGAAGCACTGCTCTGATTTGTCTCAACTCAATCCCAGTTGGGACCAAAAACCCAATTTGTCCGCAGTGCGGTCAATTTCACATGTTCTCCAATATACAACACTTATCCATAAAATTGATTTGACGAAAAAGCCAACTGGTTCATCCACTGTCCTGCTGTGATAATTGTAAGAGAGTTTCCATCTGCCAGTACAGGAATGCAGTTTTCGCCACTACAGTACTTTTGAGAGTCAATCGTAGCTGTTTTGTGGATCTCAGAACGTACCTATTTCAGATGGAACTCTCGGACAGCGCTCTGTCGTCAATCTCGTCCTGCCTTTTGGATTCCGACTGCCGCGTCCGATTGCTATCATTCGAGCTCACGTCGTTAGCTGCTGTCACTCCTGCAGCGCTGCTTCGGTTCGTCCATGACGTGGCCCCAGCCGACATCGTATTCCGAATGATTCGTGGTTGCTCCCAGAAGCACTTCGGCTCTGAGATGTGCCAATTTATCGCCACCCGGCGTTTCTTCAGCGTCAGCGAACTCGTGGACGTTGAAAGCAACGACGTTCCTCTTTCCATAGATGACGTAATTCTCGCTCAACTCACCGCCACCACATTCCAAATCGCCGCTCCCAATCTGATCACTGTCAACGGATTACGGTCATTCATCAGGGTCAGTTCGAAATTTACTTAATTGGCATTGATTGTGTACAATCAGCGCTATGTATTGTAGGATTTGACGGATGAAAAACGACAGTTGGTCGCTGGCAGGATTCAGGCCAACTTTCCCCTCGACAATGTGACGTTCCCCACGGCGACCCATGCAAAACTGCTCATCAAGGATCAGAAAACTATCGATATTTCTACGAGAAGGACCTCGGAAATTCCCTCACCGCTCAACTCTTCTCCCGAAGAGGAAATGAGATGACTTTTTTTGGTATTTGACTGGAAGATTCTGTATAGTAAGAAGTATTTTATTGCGAATACTATGTATTCTTCGAATAAATTATTCTACTTTTTTATTAAGAGAACTGTTATTTAGTTGTTCAGAAGCATTGGAGGATTTCCGCTTTCTACGGGGTGCCGTTCATTCGTGTTATCTTCTAATGCCATCGGCATTAATGCTGCCAATATATTAATCACCCTGTATCTTGACAGAACACTCCACCATCGAATCCCTTCTCGTCAAATTGGGATTGCCATGGACAATTGAGCAGCGTTCCATGACTCTCAAAGACGGACAGAAAGATGCCTGGGGGAAGTTTGGATTGGTGTGGATTAGCG